CTTAAATAATGAGTATAAGAATTAAATTTCTATCCATAGAGATTCTATGATACAGTCTGATTCACAGAAGATTTTTACTCTACGCTTTCTTTCACATGTAGTAAAACTCCCGCACCAGCACAATCAACTCTGTCATTCCTATATCTATTTTATACCCTGGTATTACCATGACCCATTGATCACCATCATTCCACCCAGTTTCTGTGACACTTATTATATCAATATCCTCATTTAACACTGGACACTCAAGTTCACCCATATTAGTATTTAGACTTCTGGCACCTGTATTCAAGCACGTATAAAATTTGTCAATACACCTCTACCCTGATATAATGCGACCCGATATAACATGAATTCAGATATAACATGGTAAAGCAGTGCTGGGGGGGGGAAATGTCGGGGAGGTGGAGGAGTTGCACACTCCGGCGGATCAAAGCAAGTTCGATATAACGCGGTTTCACCTATAACGCAGTAAGATCTTTTGGCTCCCGAGGACAGCGTTATATCGGGGTAGAGGTGTATTTAGTTGTCTGCCTTCATGATGCAACTGAATGGGCCTTTTTCATTTGACTGTTTCTCTTCAGCTCCTGCCTCTACTTTATCAACTTCTAACCTCTTCTCTTTTTTTTGATATAGATAATCCCAATAGATCCTCCCTAAGAGATGTCTCTGTCCAAACCATGAGCTCCTCCACACGTGAAGGCTTTCCCTCTTAAGTTTAAAAACTCCTCTGCAATCGTTTTGTTTTACATGCCAGCAATCTGGTTCTATTTTGGTTTAGGTGGAGCACACCTTTCCGGTATAGGCTCCTCCTTTCCCAAAAGATTCTAAACTTCAGTGATCTAGCTTCCTTCTGAAACATCATCTTGCAAGAGGAATAACTGAAAGAAGACTAAGCTGGGATCCTAATAGAACTGAAATAAATCTTTTTAAATAACATTTCCAAATCCACTGCTGAGAAGTAAGAGCCCCTAAATAATTTTTTTAGGGTGTAAAATTTGTTACACAATGTAAAGCAGGTAAAAGGAATTTGCCAAATTTTACAAAAAGTCATGTTTGGGATAAGAAAAGCATAAGAAAATCTAATGACACAAAAAATATAGTCTTATAATGAAACTGCCTGCCCAAATCATACTGTATTTGTAGATTCACTAATGCAATATCACGTCAAGTTGATGAAAGAGTAGAATCTCTCTTCTGCCACTACACACAACTCTCCACAAGTGTAATGTGCCTGCTAGAGATGAGGCAGACTTTGGTAGGCACTCTGTGGTGCCTTTGAAAATAAAAATAAAACAATTCTTAAAAAATAAAACAAACTGAGTGCAAGTAAATCTGCTGGAGTCTTCTGTATGGGTCTTGTACCCTACAATGTGGGCCACCCAGTCAGAGGTTAGGTACCACTGATAAACACTTAATACCAAACTAAAAACTTTTACTCCAGGCACCAAAAGGTTAAATTGTGGGCAAGGATTGTAACTATGATGATGAAAATTAAATAATTTAAAATAACTAAACCATTCCATGAATCTACAGCTCAAGAACTAAAAGTGAAAGTTATACATCAAATTGTCACGTGCCTGCTTCGCCTGGTCAACTTGCAATCTAGACAAGTGTTGAAGCTCTACATTTCACCTATGGTGGCTTAAATTCCCAAAACTGTTAAACTGTTTAATTTGTGTGTGGTAGGAAAACTTCAGTCTCCATGTCAGAAGTGAGTGTTAGAAGATTTCCTGTTCTAAGGCAATGACACATCAAATCGCCTCAGTGCAAGACAAAAATGACTGTATGCATAACTTCAACATGGAGAAGTCCATACTCTAAAATGTTGCTGCCATGGAGCTAAAGCTTTCCAAGGAGACATTTACTCAGGAGGGGAGAACAGACTAAGATCGTATTCTAGAAAAGGTTTGCTGGTATAGCTATCATGGCAAACCCTCCTAACATATATGCATTTTCTACCAGCAAAAATGTGCTTTTGCAAGTATCACTTATAAAAGAAGCTATAACGGCAAAAGCATTTTTCTATGGTATGAATGATTCTACACTAGGACTGCTTTTTGCTCATATAAAAATGTTGTAAAAAACTCATATCCATAACAGGTATTATTATAGTACCCAAAGTTTATAGGGTAGACCAGGCCTAAGAAAGTCTTCAAGCAGAGTTCACATCCTGAACAGTGAAAACCTAGATTAGGCCCTACAATGTTTTCTTTAAGGTCTTGTCTTGCTGAGGTTGCGCTGTACATTTCAATTCTCTCAGTTCAGCATGCATTAAACCCTATACTGCCTTGTTCACATTAGACTTTTAAAATGTGTGGGCTAAGAACATCTTTAAATTCTAGTTCAGACAAGGCTTCAGTATATGAAAATGAACATCTCATGGGTGTCCGTCCAAGCACCCTTTTCAAGTCACCGAAGAAGTCCTTTTGACTTTCATATACCAATGAGTAACGAGAAACAAGACAACTTCACATTTTAAAACACAATTATTCTATAAAAGATAAAGTGAAATACTTGTAAATACAAAATTGAATTCCAATAAAGAGAACAAATGAATAGGCATGATAAAAAAAACAGATTTTTTTGTTTTAAAATGGTAGGAAAATCATTTCCTCTTATTTCCCTGGCAAGACCCGAACTCAGTGTTTTGTGCTTCTTCCAGCAGCCAATGTGAAGATTTTAGTTCCCTGTCTTGCATTAGGTATATGCAGTGTCAACAACACTTGAAGAGTTGCTAGCATTATCAACCCTAATTAGACCCAATATGAATAACAATTTGGGACCTGTTTAAATAAAATGTTCAATATTTTATTTCATTAACTTTACAAAATGTACACACTTCTACTTTTGGTGCAGTCTAATAGAGAAGCCCTGTCACTTCAGGGGAGAAGTCTAGCACTCCCACATTCCATTGCAGCGGATTTTCATCAACCTAGCTCCATGTTTAAAAAAGAGCAGCTGAAATCATGTGCTTTCCTACCCCACATCTCAATCACTGTAGGGCAGTCCCTAATCATCCTGAGAAGAGCCCCCTTTCTTCAATTGCCGACCCCACCTTCAATTAAGAGGCTCAAGTTCCTAAGTCAAATATCTGTAACCACAAAATAGGACCAGCCCCAAAGAGAGAAAATGTATGAAAGTTAACCAATATTTCAAGTTAAAATTACTCTCCTCCCCCAATTTTAAAAGTAGAATCAATAACAAAGCTTTTACATTGCTCTTGAATTTCTCTCTGCTCCCGGCTCCAATTTCTGCCTGAGTTTAATTTAAAGCATATTAAGGGCTTGGCTGCATGGGGAAATTGACCAGCACAGCTACAGCAGAATAACTATAGCATTGTAGCTATTCTGGTATAACTCCCAGGTGTGGACAAACCTTACGTTTCTAGCCCCTTTAAGGTGAAGAAAGCCTTTAAAATATGAACTACTGAAATGCGCTCCTGAATCTGCAGATGGGGTGAAACAATAGCTTTGAGGGACATTATATTGCCTTAATAATTGCAAAGTTGACACCCAGTTGAAAACAGTTATAATTTAAATGTCAATATTAACTATTCACTCACTGAGAATTTTAGTGGCAGCATCCAGCTAACATGTCGACCTACCACTACTGGATGCAGTAAAGAATAGGAAAATGGGCAAGGGTGAGGGGAAAGAGAGCCAGTTAACCCGCACTGCTAAACAATAGAGCCCTGAAAAGTCAATTTCTCTCTCCCTCCACTCAGGAGAGGGGTAAAGTTTTTGCTTGCTACAATTTTGTACTTTTACTGATGGAGCTGTTCTCACCCCCTGTTCTTGTCCCTTGGTAGGTGTTTCCCTGTTTTTGCTGCTTGCATTGAAGCCCCAAAGTCTCTCTCTGCTTGCCCAGCACTTAGCTCTGAGGCAACACTGCTTCAAAGAGGTTTTGATGATAGTTCCGCTGTCTCTGAAAGCTCTGCTCTGCACATCTCAGAGCTGTGCAGGTTGGGGGGAGGAGGAAGATCTCCACTCTAACCGGCTTTGAGGGCAGGAGGGACTAGAGCAGGGACTAGATGGCAGTCACCGCAGCAGGAGGGAGAGTATGCTCCTTCCCTGCTGCCCCACCCCCAAATTCCTACTGGAGCTTAAAGATCAAACGATTCTGCCAGTTTTTCCCCCTCACCTTTTGGTGAAGGGCTGTGCCCCACCAATTAAATACTAATCTAGACCACTCCTCCTCCTGTACAAGATTGTTTCCTTCACGACATTTAATAGAGCAAATCTAGGTTGTTAAATAATATATTATGTATCAGCAAAGCTGCTATCCATTCTTTCAACAACTTTGATAAGGTTACAAGATTAAATACAAGATTCATATAATTTTGATATACAGAATTATATAAGAAAATTTCATATAGAAAACATTTTGCTCTTCACTAAATGAAGAAAACAAGTGTTTTATGTAGCTGACCAATTATTTGGAAACTGGCACAACAGTTTACCTCCTAAATTTTAACCTTGAAAATTGATTATGAAAAGATTTGGGTTTGAAGCTTACTAACTGCACTGCATCTCATTACAATTTTTCTTTATAACTGAACAGTTCATCTAATTTAGAGAATCATAGTGGGACAACAGTTTATATGAACTATAAAAAAAACTTACAAAAAAAAAGTTTACCAAAATTTTCCAAAGGCGTGGTATGTGTTGGAAAAACAGTCCCTGGCATTACACTGGAAGCAAGAAGAAAGGTTTCCGCTTCAGCTTCACAAAACATGAAGGGATTTCTGTAATATTAAAAAACATTGAAGCAATGAAAAAGGTACAATGGTTTATGAAGAACTTTAGAAAAATAAGATACAACAGTGTCATTTAATGTACTAAGCAAGTAATATCATATTTCACCATGCTCACAAATGGAACATTATACCTAGGACTGCCTGTAGCTAGTGATAGAGAGAGTCAAAGCTGATGGTGAGTAGACTTTCTTTCCCAGAAAGATGTATTCTTCAGGAGTCCTTATTCATTGACAAAACCAAAATAACTAACTCCGTATAATCCTTTAGATGAAATCAGACATAACTAACAACCTGGAGCAAGGTTTCAGTAGGAAAATCCAAGTCCTGCTGTAGGCCCTCACAGTCAGTCCAATAATAATCTCCCCTCCATTGGCTAAGCAGAAGAAATACTACTAAGAGAACCTTTCTCCTGTTGGAGCATAGTGAAGGGATCAGAGATTCCTTCTCCCTCAGACACAAGAGTTCTGGAAAAACAATAGGGGGAGAGAAGAGTTATTATTTTCTCCAGAAGTGTTTCTTTTATGGATGTAGGGAAGAACCAGAAGTTTTCACCAGAGGTAAGGGATCCAGTGTGCCATATCATGTTATATGGAGAATAAGTTGGTTTGCTGCAGTCAGGGGAAGTTAGCAAATAATGGTATATTTACTAATATGGAGAACATATGGACAGAACAACGTGGGTTTTGCTTGAGGGCAGAGTTGTTGGAGGGTGGGATATCAAAACCCAGAACACACCATCTATCTTTTTAAACTTCTGTATCACTCACAAATTAGAACCTAAACACCTCATATCAGCAAAGGAAAACTATTCTAAAAATAGAAAGGGAAGTGGTGACAACATCAAGGTTCTTGTTATGTCTATTAGGAAATGATAAGAAAGTTACAGAACTGCCTAGAAATCCAAAGGGAAAGAAAAGTGGGTAAAGTTACTGGTGACTGGGGAAAGTGGTGTGGCTAGCCAACAGAGCCAATTGTCATTGGGTGCTGAAGATTAGGTGGATTTATGAACTTTAACAGAACTAAGATGACCAGAAACTTCTGGGAAGTAAACAGGATATCTGACAACATGGTTCTACTTAAACGCTGGCTAGCTCACCTTATTTTTTTTGCTTCACAATGTTGATTTCACTAGATCATTTCTAGTTTTACCTGTAGTAAATATGAAACCTACTGATTAACACTGCAAGTGAAGATTGGTATCTAACTATTACTAAACACCTACGTATAAATTTCTCATTCAATATGCCTAGAGCTGAAGTAAATGGTAGGAAATAATTCACTGAATGAACTGAAGTAATTAAAACCATTTTTCCACACTAAATCAAACACTGTCAGAATGAGAAGTAGTAAAACAAAGAATTCATGCTCATCTCATATGGGTTTTTTTGGATTCTTCAACATCAAGCATGCCTTTGAATGAAACTTTCTAATGAAATCGAGAAGCAGAACAAAGGTGAGTTTGATGATCCTGTAAAAGACATTTTTGATACTATCATGATTCTCAGCACAAACTAAACATCTAAATTATAATGGTTAAGTTAAATGTTGTTCCAAGACTTCCAGAAGGTTTAGAACATAAGATTTATCAGGAGCGGTCTCTTCTCTTTAAAAAGAAAAAAAATAGCAAATATCAATCAATGACTAAGACATTTCAACAACTGACAGGCTTAAATTCAACTCGACAAAAAAGTTGCAGTCTTGTGATATGCAAACAAAACGGCCTTCTACATAGAAAATAAGTAATTTAAAGAAATGATTGAAGTATTTTGCTCTGAGTTTACACCTCCGGACAGAATAACTGTTAAGTATAGCACTAGAAGTTGCAAGAAAAAAAATACAGGAAGAAAAACTATAATAATCAACACTGACATTAATGCAAGATATTGAGTCAGTCCTTGTGTCTGATTAACAGTTATACACATCTGCTGAGGGATTTCATTTTATTCTTAATTATGTTGATTCTATGTTTAAATTGAAAACAGCAGAAAAGTGTGTCCAAACTGCTGATTATGTATGTCAGCTAAGCACACAGAAGAAAGTTTAAGAAATCTCTCCCATTTGCTCAGAAAACAAATAAATGAAAGATATGAGAGAACTCCTCAGATGCAATTATTTTGAAAATGTATGATGAATGTGTGTTCAGCACTGTCTTGTTGATAAAATAGTAACACTTACCAAACTCCTAAAACACATCTGAAGTCCAAAAATAAGACTTCTGCAACAACTATCACCCTATTTGGCTGTTAGAAAATGAAAGACTGATGCTCCATCTTCCCATTTGCAATCACATTCAGTTGAGCTCTCAGGAAAATTGTATCTCTACCTTTGCATTGAACTACCAAGGGCGTGTGAAAATTCGATCAAAGTCCTCTATTGCTCAATGCAAAAAAACCAAGCATGCTCAAAAGAATCTACAGAAAGACACTAAACTTACAAATGCAATTGAAGGAAATTTTGGAGGGATTTGACAGATGAGCTGATGGCATTATTGGCACACTCTCAGTGAAATCTGGCTTGATCTAATTAAGAAATGGAATCACACAAGAACAAAACTGAGGAACTATTCAAAGCAGCTTTCCATTACACCTGATCTCAAATTTAAAAGGTCATAGGCTGAGACTATGAAAAAGAAAAATAAACTGAACTAGTATGTGCTTTGTGTTTCATTTGCCAAAAACCGTCAAGGTCCATCCATTCCCCCCATTTTTTATCCACCACTGGATGAAAAATGTGGATTTTTTCCCTCCCCAGGTTGAAGAAAGTAACAACCAACCATGGGAGAGGGTAAGACTAACTGGTTTAAAGTTGAGGCTTAAGTCTTGAGATTTAGTAGTCTGCATTTAAATCAGAAGAATATTCTAAAAATAGGTAACATGCACATATTGAACAAACACTAATAATCCCTGAATCATGCAAAATTAAATTAGACCCACATGTATGAAAAATGGCACATGTAGGCTCACAGATCAGTGCACAGTGAGTTTATCACACTGATGCACATGAAAAGCAAGTACCAGGATGTACAATAAAGTCTCAATTTACATAGAAGTAGCAAGTAAAAAGCTGTGAAAATGTAGAAAATTATGATCTCAAAACAGATTTTGGTTTTATGTTTATGGTATTAGATCTAAAAAAACAACTGAATAACGTGATTCCAAACCTGAGTTTCCATTTAAACTTTTATCCACTTAAAACCATTGAACATTTTGGATAGGAAACATTTTTTCTTTACCTTTGAACTCTAACTAACATGGAGGATGATGACAATTCCAGTTCTCGTCTCTTCTGTCTGATCACTGTATGGATTTCTGTAAGTTCTGTACTGAAAGATAAATTTCAGAACTTTTTAAAAAAGTTTGCATTATGCCAGTCTTGGATATTATGCATGTCGGTAACTGATACAAGCAAATGTATTAGAAGTAAATTATTCCTAAATTAGTTTAAGAATATTTCTAAACATTTTAAGTTTCAAGATTTATTCATGAACTCCTCTAGAGAAGAGTTTCAGCATTCATCAATCCTCTAGAAGTCTCCCAAATATACAGCCTGAGGAAAAGGTCTGTGATGAGATTAAAGAGTGAAGAAACTTGGTTACCCTGACATTTAGTATTGGTAGCGTATATGGGACAAGTGAGGAGGAACTGCATTTCTTAAGTTATACAGTACTAAATATGATATATAATTTCCCCGTTTTATTATCCAACCAGTGTTCAAGGTTTTCATTATTTTTCTCTTTCTTTAGACATTTTGTATACATCATGAGCTCCCAAAACTCTCCCTTATCATGACCACCTACCTGAACAACCCCAAAATATTTGTGATCTCATACTTTATTGACTTAAAAAGTACTGGGCCATTTAGCAAAAGCTGGTTCAGGGAGATGGAAAAGTACTCCTCTCTATGCCAAGTAAGATCAAAAACAGAAGATTCTCTCTGCTGCATGAGCAACCTAATTTTTTTTTTTAAACTCTGCCCCTGCTCTGAATAGTGTTCTCTCATTATTCTGAGAGTCAACTAATAATGGTCTTATCTAATTCAGCAAAGCCATCAAGCAAGTGCTTAAAGTTAAGCATGTGGTTAAATCCTATTCAAGCCAGTGAGACTTAAGCATGCACTCACACATGCTTTGGTGAACAGGGATGGATTGCTGAACTGAGGTCTCTATTTCCAATATCAGATTTTAAAGGAAAAATGCAGGCTTTTGTTTAGCAAAGAGCGTAAGACAATTACATGCATTTGGGGGTAATAAAATATAAATGAAAGCATCACTTAACTATCATTACTGCATCTACAGTGCTAAAACTTACATGGTAATTTGGGTAAAGCGTTAGCAAATACTCACCAGTCATTTCTATAGCTGGAGAAGGATTCTCCAGTGGAAGATCTACTGCAGAAATGATTTCTGAAGCACTCATTGGAGCAAGTCTGTCTTCTGGGCTACAAAAGAAAATTGTAAATGAAAGCGAGCCAGTACTAAATCTTCCGCATCTTTAGTGTTTAATACATGATTGTCCATAGACTTTAAATTACATTGGCAAGATTTCCTTCAGATGCATATTACAGAAGCTTTATAGTTAAACCTGTATTGAGATATGTAGTTAATGCAGGACTAAAACTTTTATACTCAAATGTTTGAATTCAAATCTCCAAGTTTTATACATAAGCTTTTCATTGGCCAATTTAATTTTTCGTAGTCTAGCTCTGGTACAGGAAACATTTAAAAATTAGACCTTTTTGAATTTTTCCAGTCTCATGGTTTTTCCTAACTCCTCTAGCTAATGAACCACAGTACCAACGAACATCTAAACCCACACGCAGGAACATCTTCAAAAGAGTTCAGAAAGACGACAGGTTTCAAACTTTGTGGGTTTTAAAAAAGCTTAAGTTATGTATCATCACATTCATCATCTTTGCTAGAAAAAGTCAATGCACAAATCAAATTCAGCTAATTCCTTCCTCCAATGTGGTCAGCCTGCCTGGAGTCACTAGATCTACCTAGCACAGAGACCCTAAAGAGGCAGGTGGGCAGCAAGGAGGACTGTAGGTAGGTAGGGACAGATAGTGTCTGTGGGGCATACAGAATTGTGCACATCTGCAGCGGGGCAGGGGAGAAGAGGCTTTATAAAGGGGCAGGAGAAGCAGCAGCTTTCAGAGCTGTCTGGAACCCCCAGCAAACCAGGCAACAGCACCATGGACAGGAGCATACAAGGAAGGAAGCAGAGAGAGGAATGGATTTTGCAAGGGATGGGGGAAGAATAGGTGTCTATGTTCCTGAGAAGAAGTGTTTTTATGTTTGGGGAGAACAGGACACGGGGTGAGTTGAGGATGAGACTTTTCAGAGAAGCCTAGAGTTGGGGAGAGCCCTAAGTCTGTGCACACTCAGTGATTTTGTTGGAAATGCAGTGAGCTCAGGCACAAAGACACTAAATTCCTCTGAATCGCATCTGAATGCAAGTATCAGAGGGGTAGCCGTGTTAGTCTGAATCTGTAAAAAGCAACAGGGGGTCCTGTGGCACCTTTAAGACTAACAGAAGTATTGGGAGCATAAGCTTTCGTGGGTAAGAACCTCACGTGGGTAAGATGCATCTGAAGAAGTGAGGTTCTTACCCACGAAAGCTTATGCTCCCAAT